AGCGTCTACCCCCTGGTGGTCAGTGCGTGTCATAGCTACCGGTCGAAAGGTCGCTTAGGCTTTAATATATATATAGATGGTTTATGACAGGAATGACTCATTAGTCCTCTTTTGTAGCTAAGGCAGTGGTTCTCAACCTTCCTAATGCCGCGACCCTTTAATACAGTTCCTCATGTTGTGGTGACCCCCAATTTCATTGTTACAAATTGAACATAATTAAAGCATAGTGATGAATCACAAAAACAATATGTAATTATATATGTGTTTTCCGATGGTCTTAGGCGACCCCTGTGAAAGGGTCGTTTGATCCTCAAAGGGGTCGCGACCCACAGGTTGAGAACCGATGGTCTATAACAAAGAAGGATCATAGTTTGTAGCTATGAGGTGCGAGGAAACAAGATTAAAATCTGGACAAGCAATTAAACTATTGTAATAGTTTTGAAAAGCAGTGATGAGGGCTTCACCAGAGTTTCAGGAATGGGAAGAAGTCAAGAGAATAACTGGACACAGTAGAACTGTGAGGGGCAGGGGTTCACTTCCGCATGTGGAGTTGTGATGACCACGAAGACGACAGAGCTAGGGAGTACTGGAGAAGAAGCAAGCTTGAGGGGGAAAGTAATTATTTTGGTTTTGATCATGTTGAGTCTCAAATGTTCCTGAAACACCCGAAAAGAGAGGACAGTACGAAATTACATATGTAGGCACAGAGCCTGCGAGGAAGACCTCTCTCTGAGGAGCCTGGGTGATTCTTTCATTGCACCCGATTTGAACACACTTGCTTCCCTGCTTTCTCAGCTCTCAGTAGATTTCCAAAATAAAACAGCTGTTTGAAAAGAAATGCTGACCTGCTGGATGCAGGAAACTAAGGAGAAAAACTGGAAAACAGACTAAAGCAGTAGATTGCCAAGCAGCTGGTGATGCCGACCCTGAGGAGATGTGCAGGTCATGACGAGTATGCTCTACTTAAGAAGGCAGGGGCATGCGTCATAGTTTTGAGAAAATTTCCATTAAAAACAAATAGTGTCAAGGTTTGGCACTTAAAGAGATAGAGCAAATTTTTTAAAATTAATCATTTTACTGTGTTTAAATATATCTATTGCATCACACTTATTATGTTGTTCAAAATTTCTACAGCCATAATTTTTCTTGACTAATCTATCAATCACTTAGAAAGGTGTGTTGAAATCTCCCAATATGTTGATGGACTTTTTTAGCTTCCTCTAAGCCTGGGACCCCTTTCTCCAACCTCATCTCCTTCCATCCTTTCTTTCACTTTATGGTTGGAACACATCATAATTCCCCAACTTGTACACTATTTCAAGCCTCGGGGGTCTTACTTGGACTGCTCTGTGTCCAAGTAGAGAAGTAGAGTTCTTTATCCCTGCTTTTGGTATGGCTTCAAAACCCTCTGCCTTACCCCTTAAAAAAAAGAGAGGATAAGAGCGCAGATTGGTTTGGCTCAGTGGATAGAGCATTGGCCTGCAGACTGAAGGGTCCCAGGTTCAGTTGAGAGAGAGAGAGAGAGGGAGGGAGGAGCTTTTTGGAGAGGAGGAGCTTTTTGGAGAGGAGGAGCTTTGAAGGTGAGGGCCCATGTGCAGAAGTCCGGTTTTCGGCCTGGGCGAGTCTATTTTGAAGAATTGGAGTTAAACTGCAGTGGGAAGGCCAGAGATGGTTGGGGGGCAGAAGGGAGGGGAGTAAGAGATCAACCGAAGGACTTGTATGCATGCATATAAGCATAACTAATGGACATAAGACATTGGGGGGTAAGGGAGGGCAGGGGATT